AAAAAAAAAAGAAAATACAGAACAGACAACGCGACGTAAATATCGATCCATGCCACCCGTTTTACGTTTCATCCTGTCAAAATCCTCCCTCCGAGAAACCGTTATCGTGTTTGGCAGTAAAATATATGTATCAAAAAAAGGTTCAACGTTGCTAACTCTTATAAAAGATATAAAATATCTTACGCACCATCGAGAAATGCTATTAAATACTAGACGATCTATATCATCATCCAATAAAGAGATATCATTTTTTTGTTCAAATTCTAAACGATTCAAACTAAACTTTTCATCCAATTTTATCCTTTTCGTTTCATCCATCGCATAAGAGTAAAACGTATCCAAATGAACTTGCTAATCCATATAACATAATATACGTACATACATACATACCAACATGCATACATTACACATCGCATACATACATACATACATACATATATATACACACATCATACATACATACATACATACATGTACATATATATGTATATGCTCTTAAATTTCTTCTTTATGCAGAGACATAAGAAAAAAAAATTGAAAAAAAGAAAGAACGTATGCTAAATATTGTTAGAAACTCTCTTTGTGCGCTAGTCAAGGCTAACTCCATTAAACGAATGAATCACAGGCACTGCTCTGTGGTATTTGTTTCCCCTCTACGCGTGAGAAGGGAACGTTTATACTTCCGTAACAAGATCCGAACGCGAAACGCTTAAAACAAAAAAGAATTCAATCATCTTCCTCCTCAATGTGAAACGTCCTGCGTATAAATCGTGAGATAACGTTTCATTATTTACTTATTTTACAAAACTCATATAAGTATGCCATTCTATTTGTTTGTTTGTGTGGGTGTGTGTGTGTGTTTTGTGTGTATGTGTGTGTATGTTGCGCACGTGACGCCACCGAGCGAATAAAACTCGGTAAATTTAAAGTTCGAGTCAGTGGTATTTCATATATTTTCTGTTCCCTGCGGTTTCACTGAGAATCATCTACTTAAGCATTGACACCAGAAAAAAAACATGAATTCTCCCGCGGAATACCACTGTCTCGATTCATTTTATTATATATCCTCAGAAGTAACAGCATTTATTACAATACATATTCGAGAACCGATTATATTCTTCCATGTTGTATTCGTACATACGGCGAGGAACCGAAATTATCATACAAACGGATCGCGGGTAAACTATACGTACACTTTTACCTTAAAAAAGTCGTCCATCTCGAGAATTCTGATTTATACGAAACTTTGTAATTTAACAATCAAGATATACAAATTTCTTTTACTGCAATTTAAAACAGGACGGAATTTTAAACGTATGTAATGTTTAATTCATTATTAAAAGAAACAGGAACACTTGAATCGCCAAGTCGGTTCAATAGATGTACTCGTAATATGCTTTATACATAGAAATAGTTTCATCAAAATCAGAATGTTCGAATTGGGAACTTTCGATGAGTAATGGTACTTAAATATGATTTCACCTTAGAGCATAATTTAAATACCATTACTAATGTCAAAATGTAATATCTGTCACTTCCACGCGTCTTTCTGTACAAATATTTTCATCGCTCGCTATACCGATCTTTCGGTTTATGTCAATTCAAGTAGGTCAATTTGAACTAGGTTAAATCTTTGTTCTAATTTTCCTATCCTAAATTTCCACGATAAAGATCGCGTTGGCGGCACGATTAAATAACGTATACGAGGAGCGTACACGGTAAAAGCGATCTACAACAAAATATATGGATTTCCTCAGCATAATGAAAGCGTA